CTTTGCAGATATTTAAATATGGCCATCTTCTTTAAGCTTGAATCATATAAATGGTAACACTTTACAATAAGATTACAATTTTAGCATTAAATATGGTTAATAAATGTTGTAGAAGTTATAAATTCATTGTTAGATGTATTTGTATCTCCTTAGTTAATGTAGGCCTACTATGAACTAACAAGAATGATCAAGGTACAATTGTATTGCTCAAATATTAATTCATGCAGTAAAAACCACAGTGGTAAAAACGTATAATGTCAGCTGCATGAACATATCAATGTTGAGAAAGCAAACAAGTCACTAGCCTTAAAAATGCTTGTTTTGTTATTTATTTCAGAAATCCTTGATATATTCAGTTTGTGCTGGTCTGACTTAAATAAAATAGTGTTTAAAAATTACTTTCTGTTTAAGTCAGTTTTGTGTTTGTATAGACCATAACGCATTAAAGGGCATTAATGGGAACATTTAAGAACTTTCTTTAAAAAAGTAACTAAAAAGTTACTTTTAACAGTAACGCATTACTTTTTGGTGTAAGTAATCAACAAAGTAATTGAGTTACTTTTTGAATGAAGTAACTAGTAACTAACTAGTTAATATTTCTTAGTAACTAGCACAACACTGGTGGTCACCACCTGCAGAACCACTCCCTTATTGGGGGTGTCTTGCTAATTGCCTATAATTTCGACCTGTTGTCTATTCCATTTGCACAACAGCATGTGAAATTTATTGTCAATCAGTGTTGCTTCCTAAGTGGACAGTTTGATTTCACAGAAGTGTGGTTGACTTGGAGTTACATTGTGTTTAAGTGTTCCCTTTATTTTTTTGAGCAGTGTATATCCCCTTCAGGGCTTTTCTACTCGCACCCCAGTCCACCCCTGCCAAACACCTCATCACATTTAATCCCTTTCTACACTTAACTATAACCTTCTCAATGTGGCCGGCCCATGTCAACCTAGCATCAAACACCATTCCCAGAAGCCTAAAGGACTCAACCTTCTCCAGTACATGTCCATATAGTTTAAGATTGATCTCTTCCCCCAACTTTTTCCTTGTAAAGAAAACCACCTGTGTTTTTTCCCTTGAAAATCTAAAACCGCATCTCAGTGACCACTGCCCTACTAGATCTATTGCTTCCTGGACCTTTCTAACTGTATAATTTATGTTCCACCATCATCTGCAAACAAAGATCTTCCAATCCCAAGCCCTACCTCTGAAAAAACATCATTTATCATGATGGAGAAGAGCAAAGGACTAATCACACTTCCCTTGGGGGTCCCATTCTCTATGAGGTATCTGCCAGATATTTCTTTCCCAACTCTCACTCGTATAGATCGTCCATACAGGAAATCCTTCACCCAGTTAAAAGCCCTACCTCCTATTCCCAATTTATCCAGTTTAATCATCAGCCCCTCTTTCCACATCATGTTGTACGCTTTCTCAACATCAAAGAAGACTGATACCACTGTTTCCTTATTGACCTGGGCTTTCCTTATTTCGTCTTCCAGGCATAACACTGGATCCATTGTTCCCCTTCCTGAATCCACTTTGACACGATACAATTAATTACCTCTTCTCTAAAAAATAAACCAGTCTGTCTGTTATCATTCGTTCCATCACTTTACACGCATGAGATGTTAAAGCAATTGGCCTATAGCTAGTAGGTTTTGTTGGATGCTTCCCTGGTTTCCTAATTGGGACTACAACTGCTTCCTTCCAACTCTTTGGAAGCTGCCCTTCCTCCCAAACTCTGTTGTATAACCTAAGCAGTCTTCCTAATGCTACCTCACCCATACATGAAAACATAATATAACACATTTCATCTTCCCCTGGCGATGTCAAACCTGCTCTGGCAATTGCTCTCTCCATTTCTGCTTTAGAAAATGGAGCACTCAGTGCATCACCCACTTCCTCCCTTTTTTCCAATACCCCAGGATATGCCTTCAATGTAATTTCCCTTCCTTTCTTCCACTCACCCTCCAGGTTGTCAGAGCTATGTATTGCCACAAAAGCTTTAGCCATCATCTCTGCCTTCTCGATGTCAGTGACTGCCTTCACCTCCCCACTAACCAGTACAGGGTAGTCCCACTCTCTCCTTATTCCACTCATCTTCTTAATCATCCCCCATACTTCTCTCACAGGTGTCTTCCTTCCTATTGAGCTGCAGAACCCGCGCCAATATTTCCTCTTAGCATGGCGTACAGTCTTTCTCACAACTGCTTGAGACCTTTTATATTGTAGTAAATGCTCAAAATTATGAGTACGTCTCAACAACCTGAGAGCCCTGTTTCTACCTCTTATTACTTCAGTACATTCCTCTGTCCACCATGGAACCACTTTCCTTCTCCTTACCCCAGAACTCTTAGGAATAGTTTCATCTGCCACCTCTTTAATAATATTTTGGAAAATACTATACTCTCTGTCACTCTCCACATCTCTAATCTCCCCAGCTAACCTTTCCTCACATATCTCCTTGAATTTGCCTCAATTAGCCTTACTAAAGACCCATCTCCCTCTTTCCTCTCCTAACGATTTTTCCACCCTCATTCTAATTGTGCATACTATAGGAAAATGATCGCTTCCTACTGTCGACTCCTCCCATACCTCCCATTCACAAAGCCTTGCTAGATCATTAGATAAGAATGGTAAGGTCTAGTGCTGACTCCTTTCCTGATCCCATTTTGATCCTTGTCCCTCTACCATCATTAATACACACCAACCCTTTTAAATCCATCAACTCCTCCATCACCCTCCCATTTTCATCCAATCTCTTCCCAGAATCCTAATCCCAGAATCCTATATGGCATCCCCAGTTTAATAAATGTAGCACACCCTCCCCCACCTCCCGTACATCGGTCTCGACGGACACCCACATACCCCTGTATCACAAAATCCATATTTGGTCTAAGCCAAGTCTCTTGAATACATATAACATCTGGCTTCTGCACCATTTCATCAATAACTAGTTTAAACTCTTGTCCATTTGCTACCAGGCTTCTGGCATTCCAATGTATTTATAACACCATGATAAATATTAACCAACCCATGATTCCTGACTAGACTGATGTTTGAGATCATCTCTCACTGTTTCCCATGTCAGCCCTGTTACATCCAATTGTCGTACTGCTGCCATCACTATCAACTGTATTCTTTCTCTTTGACTTTACATCCGCCGTACCATTAATCACACCAGCAATAAATGTCACTAACTTTCTAACATCCACTTGTATCATATTTCCCTCATTCTGCTTCGCTTGTCTTGCTTCATGTCTCACATTATCCTCACTGCTACCCCCTGCTGTCTGGTTCTGAACCTTTTTAACTGCCTCTGCGTATGACACTTTCTGTCCCACTCTCACCTGCTGCACTTGCACCGCTTCCTTCATCATTGAACACCCTCCATAAGCCACGCTATGTGCACCCCCACAATTACAACATTTAGGTGGGACATCTTCCCCACACTGACCATAACTATGATTTCCTCCACATCTGGCACACCTTCTTGTCTCATTGCACATTACTGCTACATGTCCAAACCGCTGGCAGTTATAACATCTAAGTGGTTTAGGCACATACAGTCTCACAAAGTAGCTCATATATCCAATTGTTACTTTCCCTGGAAGGACCCCTCCCTCAAACTGTAACAAAACTGACTGACTATCTTCCTTAACGCCATCTCTAGTTGTTTGTAATCTTTGTGCACTCATTAGATTCCCTCCTCTTATATTACTCTTTATCTCTTCCATCTGTACACACACAGGAATACCTGTAATCACGCACTTACTCCATCTTTTCCCTCCCTTATCTTTTACAACACTTACCACCTGAAATTGTCCCACCTTTTCCAGCTTCAATACCCGCTCTCTTTGACCCCTATCCTTACATGTAACTACTAAACTACCATTTTTTTTTTTTTTTTTTTTTTTTTTTTTTTTTTTTTTTTACACTTTGCTTCATTTTGTCAACACTTTGCTTGTATTATTGCCTCTTTTATGTGTTTTCTTAATTGTGCTTATGTAAAGCGCTCTGAGAATTAACTTTTAAAAGCGCTATATAAAATAAAGTTATTATTATTATTATTATTATTTCTGATCACCCTTGCTGCAACTATATCACCTATCACATTCTTTAATGCCGATGTCAATCTGACCGGATTTACACCTCCTCCTTCCTCTCGAAAATTGATAACTACTTTATCCTTGTCAATATCACGATCCTCTTGAGTAAATACATCTCTCCTCACCACTCATTTCCGAACTACTACTTATTCCTAGTGTGTTAGCCTTTTCTTAATCAGACTTTCATTTCCACTCCCTACCTGTTTTCCCTTTCCACCTTTGCCCTTCTCCCGTCCTCCTCCACCTCCTTCCTCCATCTCCAGTCCAGTCACAGTACAGCCGTACCGAACCGCCAACACTCCTGTTGTGTTTACAATTATTTCCGTTCAATCTCAAATTGATTCGTTTTACAAGCGGTCCTCGCTCGAAAAACCGACTCCCGGAACGCGCTCCCACACCGTGTGACCGTGTGTCCGTTTGATTGAGTGTGTGGACAGGTGTCTTTTATACAGGTAACGGGTTCAAACAGGTGCAGTTAATACAGGTGGAGTGGAGAACAGGAGGGCTTCTTAAAGAGAAACTAACAGGTCTGTGAGAGCCAGAATTCTTACTGGTTGGTAGGTGATCAAATACTTATGTCATGCAATAAAATGCAAATTAATTACTTAAATCATACAATGTAATTTTCTGGATTTTTGTTTTAGATTCCGTCACTCATAATTGAAGAGTACCTATGATACCTAATGAGTACCTATGACAGACTTCTACATGCTTTGTAAGTGGGAAAACCTGCAAAATCGGCAGTGTATCAAATACTTGTTTTCCCCACTGTATACATATATATAAAAAATCCATGTCATGATCCCTTTAAAATGAGTCTTCCCAGTGAAAGCTTACTATTCTGAAAGCTCTTAAACCAGATCATGTGTTTTAACATTCATTTAGGGTCTACAGTCTGAATCCTCTAAAACGAACTACACAGATGTGGTGGACACATTGTTTTCTCAATTCCCCGATGAAGAACACTACTCAGACGCTGGTCCAGATCGCTGCAGAACCTGTGCTGTGGTGGGAAACTCTGGGAACCTCCTGGCATCCCATTATGGTCTACTAATAGACAGCCATGACTTTGTCATAAGGCATGTTATTTTCTCTTTTGAAGTCTCGACAATGCAATACGACCAAAGATGACTGTTAAAAATGCATCTTCATCAGGATAAATAAGGGTCCGACAAAAGGTTTCGAGAAGGATGTGGGATCTAAGACCACTCACCGGATTCTGTATCCTGAGAGTGCTGTAGACGTGGACAACTCCACCCATCTGGTGCTTCTGCCCTTTAAGATTAAAGACATGCGCTGGCTAATCAGTGTCTTCACCACCAGACACATCACGAGGTACAATTGTTTCCTCACGCTCACAGGATTATTAAAAAGCCTTCAGACACACATCTTCCACATTTTATGGCAATTATCTTAATGTAATGAATCTAAGTTTTCCTCAGCACTTATATTAGAGTGAGAGCTACAGTAAATGCAGACAGAGACAAGGTAAGAATCATATCCATCAATCAATTATAACATTTGATTTGCACGTATTGATCAGTATAGTTTTTCTGAACAAATGTCATTAAAATATGCATGATTAAGTGAGAATCACCTGAAGTGTGCACAAATAAAGGTTCCAAAAGGGATGCCAGAGAAGAGCCATTTGTTTTTGTTTTTCTCAAGGACCGTTCACACCAAGAACGATAACGATACCTGTAATAGCATCCACACCAGCAGACAATATTTTTCAGTTAAGCATGCGCTGCAGTTTTGTCTTCTGCAGCTTTAAATGCTCGAACTCTTTAAAGCAGGGTGGATTCAGATGTTTTTATGGTTATCAGCTAGAAAGAATTGTCCTGAAAGTGATTCCAACGATATTGTTTCTCTGTGCGGTTATAGTTGTGGTCTGGTCTGCTATTCTTTTCTATTTCGAGCGATATCTTTATCGTTATCGTCCTTGGTGTGAGCGGGCCTTTAGTGTGAAACACATGTTTAAAATCTAAAGAACAGCTTTCAACGATAAAGAAACTTTTGTGCAATTGAAAGGTTCTTTATGGAACCATCAATGCCAATAAAGAGTGTATTGCATGATTATTTTGGTTGTTTTTTTTAAGGTGATGATCATCCATCCTGCATTCATAAAATACGTCTATGAGAGCTGGCTGCAGAAACATGGCAAATATCCTTCTACTGGCTTCATTACATTGATATTCGCCCTGCACATCTGTGATCAGGTAAAAGTTTTGTCTCTTATTTCAATTCCTCCAATGTTTGTCTCACAGAGTCAGACTTTTCACTATCGGCATGAAGTCTAGTCTAGTGCACTTTGCAAGAGACCATTTGATTGACATGTTAAAGGACCAACATCATTTTGGTTTTACATGTCATTTAGAGGCGGGCTAATCTGAAATCCATGATGCCAACAACAGCCGCCGTCTATAAATCATGGCATTCATTGTTCTAATTCATTATTTTATTATCCATTTTATGTAGATGCTGACTCACACTTACATGCATTGTAAACCGTGCACAATAAAGGGCTCTGATTCAAAGACCCAATAATCCTGAAGTACTAAAACTAAGATTTTTCATGTTTTAGAAAGGTCTCTTTTGCTCATCAAGGCTGCAGTTATTTGAGAAAAAAAATACAGTATGGGAAATATTCATAGAATTTAAAATAATTGTTTTCTATTTTAATGTTTTAAAATGTAATTTGTTGGTCAGCATCATTACTCCAGTCTTCAGTGTCACATGATCCTTCAGAAATCATTCTAATATGCTGATTTGCTGCTCAAGAAATGTCATATTATCAGTGTTGAAAACAGTTGAGCTGAGCTTTTATATTTTTGTGGAAACTTTGTCAGGATTCTTTCATGAATTAAAAGTCCAAAAGAACAGCCTTTCTTTGAAATAGACATTTTATTAACATTATAAACGTTTTTACTGACTTTTGATCAATTTAATGCATCCTTGCTGAATATGATTGTGTACTTGTAGTGCATATTATAAATGATCAAGTGAAAGTTTAGTGTGCAATATGCAACAGACCGTTAATGAAAACCATGAGAGTTTTGGTTTGCCGTAAACGTTGTTGGTTTCATTTGAACCGTTACTGTATTCAAATTAAAGGAGAATTTTTAAGTTAATCTTGATCGTTATACCTTTTGTGAGTACTAAAAAAAACGAGCCGGATTGGTGCTTGCAACATGGAGCTTCTAAAGCTAATGCCCAGAGCTCCCACTCGGCAGAACGGGGGCATATACATAAAGAGTGTCTTTGTGCCTCTTAACAGACACAAAATGCAATTAAAATGTCGGTCCAACATGAACAGGGCCCTTACATGACAACAAGATGCGTTTAGCAACTTAGCATTTTTAAATTCACCTAAAAAGTGTTTTAGACGGCTAGCTGTAGTCTCGCGCTGAAGTCCAGTGGGAACTTACAGTTGTAGCCGGAAAAAGGTAAATAGCAGTGTTCTCCTTTTAAGGTTTGATTTGCATAGGCTACATTTTAACTAATCATTTGCTCTTCGTTGTCATAAGTGAGATAAGTATTAAGGGTGTGAATTTCCACGGAGCTGGATATTATGGTTAGCAACTGTTTGCTTATCAGCCATGTATAACTGTACAAGCAAGCCATGCTTGCTCACAATCATTTATTTTTTAACTTTTGGTGCATTGCAAACACTGATGTCCTATTTTTTTCAATCTCTCACACAGGTCAATGTTTTCGGGTTTGGAGCGAAAAGTGACGGACACTGGCATCACTATTTTGACGGTATCTTGACTCACTTCAGCAGAGGCAGTCATGGTGGAGACTTTGAAAATAAAACTATAAATGAGCTTCTGCTGATAAACAAGATTTCTATGCATAAAGGGTGGTAATTATAACATTTTCTCTCAGTATTAAATCTTTGGTTAAGGCTTTTAATGAAACCTTTTCAAAAAGCCTGCATTTTCAAAACGGATGTATTTATGAATATTTATTGATGTACCTGTATTTAACCAGGCAAATCAATTAAGAACATGTTTTATTTCCAATGGCCTGGCAAGAGCATATTGTCCTTGTTAACAGAGAAAACAATTGGAACAATTAGAGATAAATAAAAAACAATACAACATATTACATCAGAAGGTAAATAAATATATTAATATCGGGTAATGAATGCATTTAACAGAATGATTTTATGGGTATGTCCCTTACGATTCTGTGAAATTATGCATTTGTGTAAAGTATTATTAAATACAATTTTCATTCCCCCACCCCCCCATGTTGTTGATGCTGATTTGTATTTCACATAAAAGAGTAAATCACTGCAAGCACTGTTTTTACATTTGCAATCTTCCTTTTTTCTTCTGCTAGGACACACGTTTTATCTGGCTGTTTTGCCTTCTTTTTTTTTAGGATAATTGTAGACAGGATAGGTTTTTTTTTCTAAAGTTCAAGCACTTGGTAACTCTCTTTAGGCTAAACACATTTATTTACCGAGTACATTAAAGAATGTATGTAATGACTGCAGTCTCTGCTAAAGCAAATATAAAATAGATATTCTAAAAAATAAATAAAGGTGACTGATTTTAGTTTCAGCATAACCTGCTTCTTAAAGGGATAGTTCACCTAAAAATACACAAGATATTTTAAAGAACGTCTGTAACCAAACAGTTAATTGGACCCCACTGACTTCCATCAGTATTTATTTCCCACTATGAAAGTCAATGGGGGTTCAATCACAATTGTAAAATTCCATTATAAATCCGGGTTTTAAGGGTTTACATGACTCTGGAAACCCTGTATGAATCAAAAAGCTTTTGGTGGCAAAATCTGTTTTTTGTGTTTTTAGTAATTGTTGGTTTGGTATGTTTGAGTTGCTGAATATCCTAGGCTACTATTACAGAGGAGCCTAAACTCTGAGAAAACGATATTGTTAAAGGAGAACTCCGGCGCAAAATGAACCTTTGGTCTAATTACACATTGTTACCTAGCCGTTATCTGAGATTTGTTTTCATGATTATCGAATGTAAATAGTTTTATCTCTAAAAACAGTTTAGCCTATAAAGCTAGTATAACGCTAGTATATTGGGCATAGTGTAATGACAAATAAAAATCGCTTGTTAATACCACTAACAAGGCTGAAAATAGACCCACACTAACACGGTAGCATAATGAGGGTCCCTACCTTCAAACCGAAGCATTGAGAACTTTGTAAGTGTACAGACAGTTTAATAAGAAGATATTTTAAACATACAGTCAACTTCGTGTATACAGGCAGAAGCCATCTTTGAAATACAGCCTTTACCAGTCGATCTACGAACGCCGATCCAAGTGCGCTGGTGAGAATGATAAGGTGAGCGCGAACAGCAGGCTTGGATCGGCGTTCGTAGATCGACTGGTAAAGGCTGTATTTCAAAGATGGCTTCTGCCTGTATACACGAAGTTGACTGTATGTTTAAAATATCTTCTTATTAAACTGTCTGGACACTGACAAAGTTCTCAATGCTTCGGTTTGAAGGTAGGGAGCCTCATTATGCTACCGTGGTAGTGTGGGGCTATTTTGAGCCTTGTCAGTGGTATTAACAAGCGATTTTTATTTGTCATTGATCTATGACCAATATACTACCGTTATACTAGCTTTATAGGCTAAACTGTTTTTAGAGATAAAACTATTTACATTCGATAATCATGAAAACAAATCTCAGATAACGGTTGACTAGGTAACAATGTGTAATTAGACCAAAGGTTCATTTTGCGCCGGAGTTCTCCTTTAAGCGCACCAGAATAAAATATAATATTCAAAATTAAACGGTGTAGCTGACTTACAGATTCAGTTAACATCCACAAATGAATAAGCGCAACGATTCAGGGGAGGTTCAGAGCTTGGCTGGAGCAGGCTCAGTGAACTCCGAGAAAACGCTACGCTTGAGCAAACAGTTTGTGATAGGCTACTACAAATGATGGCCGTGAATAAAATATAATATTCCTATATTTTTAAACCACAACCCTCTATTGTCAGAATGTTTATTTTTAAACCACAATCTTCTAAACATCTTCAATGTGTGCTTCTTTTACCGAGATATGCGAATAACAGACACACAGACAGACGTTTCTGTAATTTATAGATGTCTAGGTGTATATATTATATTTATATATATACTGTATATTATACGTGTACTGTATTTTTTTTTTAACCGCGATTAATCGATTTGACAGTATGTATGTGCAAAATCGGTTTTTGTGTGGTTTTAGTAATTGTTGGTTTTATGTGTTTGAGTGCTCATTGTTACAATTACACAGCAAAAGTTCAGTGACATTTTTATTTGTGCATGGTTGAAAGCAAATACTGACATAATGACATACAAATATGGAAAATTGAACTACATATCTAACTACTGACAACAAACAACTTCTGAATAACTACAATATTCAGAAGTAAACAGTGTAGCTGACTTAATGTTTAGCTAACAGAGTGTTTGCCAGAATGTTTATTTTTAAACCACAACCCTCTAATGTCAGAATGCTTATTTTTAAACCACAACCCTCTAATCAATGTCAGAATGCTTATTTTTAAACCACAACCCTCTAATCAATGTCAGAATGCTTATTTTTAAACCACAACCCTAATCAATGTCAGAATGCTTATTTTTAAACCAGAACCCTCTAATCAATGTCAGAATGCTTATTTTTAAACCACAACCCTCTAATCAATGTCAGAATGTTTATTTTTAAACCACATCTTTTAAACTACAACTCTCTCTAATGTCAGAATGTTTATTTTTAAACCACAACTTCATTGTGTGCTTCTTTTACCGATATATTTACCGATATCTTTTGCATTTCTAATCCAAACAACGTCAAACTTGGTACTGCACTTACTCGTGCCCGTAGCAAGACACCTGTCAAGTTTGAAATGCATCGGACTAACGGTTCGAGAGATATGCGATTAACAGACAGACAGAAGTTCCTGTAGTTTATAGATAGATGCCCAAATTGGATCAACCCAAATTCCTGCATGTGAAAGCATTGTATTTTATATCAGAGAGAAGTGAATGCAAACAGTGTTGTATGATCAGGAGGTGTGTAGAAGAGAAATCCCTCCTCCTTAGATTAATCCCTCATATCTAGATTCACACATCTGGCACCCATTCTTCAGGTTTAGGCCTACTGCTATTGTTTATTTATTTTTTTTGCTTGTTTTGTTTCAAATGTCAGGTACGGTAACATTTCTTTTTAATTAATATTAGTTTCTTTCTTTGTTACACACTAGAAAATTACTCTTCAGTTTGTAGCCCACTATAATTACGTTTTCCCATAATAAATGTAGGCTAATACAATGGGCCTTCAGTTTATTTCTCTCTCTCTCTCTCTCTCTGCGTGTGTGTGTGTGTAGGCTACTTGTATAGTTTTCGTTGTGATGACCAGTCTAGTGATGACAAGTGAGTAAAATGGGGACATTTTGGCCGGTCCTCACATTCTGGCACAAAGACTTTGTTTTTGGGAAAGTCATACAAAAGTATGTGTGTGTATAGCCTATGTAGGCTATATTAGATTAAATTATGAAGAATATGTTCTCCTGTGGTATCCTGTTAACGTAACGTTATGTTATTGCAACCAACATCCATTGACAGTCGCCGCGCGCACGCACATAGCTCCGCTTCACACGCCCATTTTTCAAAAACAAAAAAAAAACTATCGTTAAGGTCCTATACTGGACAAACCACGCTCCAAATGGATATAATACGGAACGCAGCTTTGGTTTGGGGAGCACACACAGTTTTTTCCCCACTGCTGGCATTTGTTCTCCGGTAGGCCTAGTTTGTTACCTTGACATTTGTTTTAGACGAACACAATAAAGATGGGTGGGAAAGCCTATGAGACGACGAGGATGATGATAAATGTAACATTTAATAAAGTACACTGCAAAAAAGAAAAAAATAGCCTAATGGTAATTTTCTGTCAGGACATTATCCATTATTCGGACATTTCATTTAAACCTAAAACACCACACAATGCAGTGCGAAACTCAAAATACACCAGTAAAAAATAAATAGGCTAAAATAAAAATTCCTTCATATTAATTCAGTATGCCTATTGCGCCCTGTTTTTAAGGGTTCTTTAAGAGGCAGGCTAATAATAAATTGCACACTTTTTTCTTCTCTTCTCAGCTGTAGGATTTTAAACCCCCTTCAACCAGCAGAAAAGATGGTTCCCTTCACTAAATGGAGATCTTTGTTCATCACAGGGCTCTTCACTTTTAGCATCTTATTTCTTTTTATGTTCTTCCAAAACGCGGTGATCTATAGGCTACTTTCCTAAAAACATCAGTTGATTCCACCAAAGGAGGTCTGTGCGCTTGTGATAAATGTGTCACGGATCTGAACGATGATGACTGGTTCTTCTTGCGGTTCAACCCCACAGTTCCACCTCTGCTGAACAGGAGAAACAGTGTGTTACAGACAGACGTCTACCGATGGTGGAAGGTACATGACGACTTTCTGGATGTCTGTAAATCAAAGACCAAAGGCACTGGGACTGGGTTATTGGCCTGGTTTCACAGATTAGATTAAGTCAGGGTTAGGCCTTAGTTAAATTAGGATATTTAGGCTATAGCTTTTATTAACGTGAAAACCCATTACTGATGGGGATCTTAAAATATATCAGTGCCATTGTTTTGTCTTAAGATATATCAGTGCAAGTTGCTTTTAGTTAAAACAGCTCAAACATGCATTTCTGAGACTAAGCCTGGTCTGTGAACCCGGGGGATTATTACATTATAAAGGAATTAATAGCTATAGGAGAATACATAACAATGGTAAAAGATGCTCTAGCTTTATAGGCTAATCAATTAAAAAAATATTTGCAAATAATATTTTATTTTAAAATATGCACACATTCACTTTCCATTCGTATGCCTACTCGCCTTGTCGCCTATGAATCATGACTGCATATTTTCAATTCAAAACGACGAAATTTCATAAGAGTCAATTATTCTGTGACATTCATAGGCTAGGTATACTGTCGGTCGCTGAACATTTACGTAAAACAGTAATAGGCCTACTTACATCTTCTTGCATGCATTCCCCAATGTTCATATTACAACCAATAGGCTAGCTATACTATGTAGGCCTATTCTATAAAATTACACCAGGCAAGAGTAAAGGGGACTGTCCATTTGAATAGTTTAAAAAAGCGTTAAAATCATTTTAAAGGCTTGTGAAAGTGGTTAAGATGAATCTCTTTATCATAAATTATTTGTTAAACTGCATGACACATGAACAACAACTTTCATCACAAATTTAAAAAGAAACAATAGTCTGTGACATTAAATGTTTTTTTTAACCTATACAAACTTTTTGTTATCAGCTTTTATTTGCATCTTACAATTTGTTAACGATTTTCAATAAATAATATAAACTGCCCGCCTATACTGTTAGAGGCCTGAGCAAACCCAAACTCTAATATCTCTATCACTCAAAAAATGAACGAGGAAGGTTGTGCAATTTACATAATATATTTATATTTAGTTTACTTATAATAATTGTGTTTTTGACTTGAAATGTTTTTTTTTTCTATTAAGGTCCACGTAATTATGTCTCAACTTAACAGTACAAAATCCTAACCTTGCCTAAACACAAACCATTTATGTTAAGTAAAAAATTCTTACATCCAGAGGGTGGCAGTATAGTGCGAGCCAACTGCCATTTTGCCCTAACTTAATTTGATTGTGTTCAATCTGCTTAAATAGTAACATTTAAGTTTACTTAATCCGCTTGTGTTGGATTACATGATTGATTTGTGTTGCATTAACTGAAACTGGGCGGTGCTTGTTAGTTCCCAGCATGCTTTGCATATGGTTGAATTAAGAGAGAAGAAATGTTAAAATGAAGTGTTATTTTATGTTTTTTTGAGAAAATGAGAAAAGGGGAAGACTTGATAGTGCGTAATTGTGTTTAATGTTCAATTACATTGCAATTATTAGTACCATTTAAATTACAGTGGTTACCATTGTGGAGAAGAGTGGAGCATTTGGTTAGACTGAAAACTGATTCAGCAATACTCACAGCAAATGCTTAGGTTGATGAAGCATGTAAAATTTAAATCTTATCATTTAAGATGCTAAAGTGCTATTGGTAGCCTATAATTGGCTATAGTCTAGAAATGTATTAATGGACATTAAAATAACTTATATTGCATTGGATGAATGAATATTTGAATACCTGAATCATATCAGGGAGCCTTTTTAAATTCGCTGACAATATTAAATTAAGCTGTGCCCAACCATAGTAAATAAGTTGAATCAACCTTAATACATTAAGTTGACCCAACGTAAGTACATTAAACTGGAATAACAGAATTGCATAATGCTGAAATAAAGCAAGTTAATCATGTGGAAATCCTTTCCATAATTTATGTTCATTCAAAGAGTTATTTTTTTGAGTGTAGGTGGCAGGCAGCTATTCTTCAACCCATTTTAAAGAGACATTTCTTCTCCGATATTCTTAATAAAGCATCTCAACTCTTGCATCAGTTCAGAGATTCCAGCACAGGGATTTCCCAGTAGCTGAAGTTCTGATCGTTGAACACATGGTGGAAGTACAGACCAACAATTGTCTGTCATTTGTGTGTGTGTGTGTGTGTGTGTGTGTGTTTGTGTACAGGACACATTGTTGAAAAACACAGTATAGATCAACATTTTTATTGATTAAACATCTATTGAAGTAATTTAAATGTATCACCTTTCTGAAAAGTACATTTCTAATTCTTTATAAAATAGCCTAAGTACAATAATATCTGTCTACTGGGCTTTAATTAGGTCAAAGGAAATAAAAAAATTAAAGGAATTAATTTTAAGTTAATTTATTTAATTTGATATCTCTGCAGAAACAATGGCACCATTTCGATATAATTTCTTCTTATTTATTAAAGTATTTTTATTATATAAACTGTTCTTTTGTGGAATACGTTATTGGCAAAATTAAGTTTAATGCACTTTATATTGTCATTCTCTTCAATTTATTTTAAAGGGGTCATGACATGAGAAATCAAATTGGCCTTGATCTGTTAACATATAAGAGGTCTTTGAACCATTAAATCAAGTTTAAAACGTCATCCTAATTTATTTAATCAAGCTCCAAAAACATCTCGTTTTGATGTAAGATGGGCAAATATATTTGCATATGCCTGCCTCCAGAGCAAGACATCGATGAATAGTTACGCGGATGTTTCACACATATTCCTACACAGTCTCATGAAAGTGCGTATCTATACCACAAATGTTATTTCTCGTGCCATTTATATGCCAAAAAATGGTTTTTGCGTGCATATGCAAAATTAGGATTAGGGGGAGGGGCGTGCGTGCCTATTACACGCCATAAAGTGCATATCATATGCATGCGAAAACTGCATATCATATACACGCAAAAACTTTTTTTGGCTACATAGGCCTATGTTGTATGCACTTTCATGAGATCGGGCTGCGTACCACAAACACAACATTTATTCTCTATTTTTTATTTCAAATTACTATTTTTATTATCAGCGTCTTTTATAAAATACTTTAAAAAAGTTTCAACATTGCAGTTCTATACACCGTAGTTATTGGTCTGCACTCTTTCACATTTAAACTCAACACATTTAGACTTATTCACGTTGAAACTCAATACACTTAAAAAAACGTATAATGCATTACCTCTATAGATTTATAAGTTGCTCAAGCAAGTTATGTTAACATCGCAAACATTTTAAATTAAAACATGCAATTGACAAAAACAACTCTCTCATACCTTTTCTTTTGCATTTAAATCTTTTTTACAAGAAATATTGTGGGTCACAAAGAACGTGTTTTTCCACCTCCAAGAAGGGACTATAGGCTTATAGGCTACATACATTATGTCGCATTGTTGAGGTGCTGTGTAGTTTTCCTTGATTTAATTAGCCCGGGCTTAAAGTTAAAAACAAAATGACTGTGAAAAATAGTAGTATAATTTAGTTAAATGAATTTATGGTGAGATTACTATATTTTCATGTCAATCCGTGTTCATTTTGACCACGAACCATGCGCTGTCGCTTTAATTCAGCGCGTGCAGCACAGCAAAAACAGACTCGTGCGGAAACGATCTCTGCACTGCTGTATACGGTGTTTACTGAGAATGAAGAATGAAGAGAAAGAGAGCAAAATTGGCTATTTTGGCCTTTTGCAGGGTTATGGCTGCAAATTCACTACAGAGGTCTGTGTGGATGCAGAGACGAAGCCAGGAGTGGTGGGAATGTGATGTGAACAGCTTCACTGATGCTGTTTTTTGAAAACTTTCGGATGTCGAGGGCAACTTTTGATTATCTCTGTCAGCGCCTCTGTTCAAGACTCCTACGGCAGGACACTCAATTTAGGCGACCCATCTCGATGCGGAAACGTGTCGGAGTTGGGCTGTATTGGCTGTCTGTGTCTAGGGCTAACTCGCCGGTGGATAATTTGTGACAAACGTCGATGTAGATTGACATAAAAGTCGCATCAAATCCGCCTTGGTTGTTCACACTGTGGCCGTATAGGGGATTATCACGCTGATACGTAGTACTTCCGCATTCAGTGATCTTTGTGCACTGCCACTTCCGTTGAATCACCGATCACTCTGGCAAACTGATGACGGACTACACTAAGTTTATTTATACGGCATCTCTGGTAAATTAGTCTGATTCACTAAAGTGGCGGCTACAAACAAACGTGCTACCTTGTTTTATTTTAAAGTTTGGACCTTAATCCCGGCGAACCGCTTTAATCCACTTCTTCCTTATACTCAATTCAGTCGGGAATCCATGAGAACTTAAGTAGGGTTAGCGTTGTTGGTTAGATTTACAAAGTGGAACAGAGCAGTGACATCTAGCCATTGTTGAATTGCGTCGGAAGTGGACATGCACAAAGTTGACAAATCCCGCCCATGAAACCCGGAAGCGTGATGATCCCCGATTGAAAAGAAATCAGACCTGGGTCTGATTCAGGACCACATATGGAAGTGGTCTAAATCTGATTTGAAAAAATCAGATCTGGGCAAGATTTTAGTGTTCACAGTACTTCTGAAGAAGTCTGCCCTGGTCACTTGACCCCCCAAAAATTGGATTTGGGCCACTTTTGCCTGCAGTCTGAATGGGGTCTTAGAAAAACTGGCAGACTTGGGTTTTCCTTGAACGTCTGCAACTTATCCATTAGGTGGCGACCAAGTGCTTGCTAAGAGTTAAGGGACACATTACCTATAACAACATTAAACTGTTTTATATCACATCACCCTTCCTTATGAGTTACTTAACAAATGTAACATTGAACTATGAAATTACTGTAGTTAGAAAACATTTATTTTCACGTTTTCTCTTGTCTTCCTTTTATCTCACAAAGTCCTTGTATCTCTGTGGAGTTGTGACATTTCTTCCAGACCTTGTTTTCACCCTTTTTCGGTGAAATGACTGTAGTGTGACTGGAATCAGACCCGGG